TTCTCTGCTATCTTCTACCCTCCTTACCCTCTAAGGAGGGTATCTTGGAGATATTGATCTTATTTCTGAGCCTTTACACCAGCTGTTCACTCTGCCTGGAGAACTAATCCTTTCCCCAGGTTTCTCACGTGGCTGGTTTCTCCCTCTTCAAATGTGAGTAAATGTCAGCTCCTCAAGAGGCCTTCCCAGAGCACCCTATATAAATCCCCCTCTAGCACACACAGATACACAGCTATTCTCTCTCACACTATTCTGCTTATTTTCTTTATCACATTTGTCATATCTGGAATGATCTTGTTTGCATGTTGTTTGTTTGTTTGTTGTTTATCTCCCTCATGAGATAGCAAGCAGATTAAGATAGATTTCATCTGTTCCTTCATTCCTACATGCTTTTAGCAAGCATATAGGAAGTGTTTAAAGTATACGTTGAACAAATGAATGAAAGGTCTCTCTGTTTCTAATCTGGGTCTCCCTTTTTGGACCTGTCCTTCTCACTGACGCCAGAATGGTCTAGACAGAATCTAACTGTACAACAGTACTAACAAAAACTTTTCAAGGCACTACCAGGTGTTCCCAAACATTAGTGTGCTAAAAAACATCTTGAGGTATTCAAAACATAGATTCCCAGGCCCTCTCTTAAGAGATTGTGATTTAGTACATCTGGCTTAGTGTCCGAGAAAGTGCATTAAATGTATTTTTAACAAGTATTCTAGGTGATTCTGAGGCAGGTGGTTCATGAAACATGCCGAATAAAATTCATATTCCTTACACTGGCCTTGTGGACTTCTATCACCAGGCATTTACCTGGCCCTGGGTCCATTTCCTGCCATGTCCCACCTGAACTTTTTGTTCAAGTTATGCTGAGATGTAGATGTTCTTCCAACACACTCAATTATTTCTTGTACCTGAGCTTTTACTTCTGTTGTTCCTAGTCCTATTTCACCGAGCTGCCTCTACCATTCCACAAGATTCATCCTTTCTGGAAATGTTTCCTAAAATCCTAAAAAAGACTCAGTACAGCTAGAGAGACAAGAGGCTCTTGTTTGCTTGCTTTTATTTTTTCTTTTGAGATGGAGTCTTGCTGCATTGCCCCAGCTGGAGTGCAATGAGATCTCGGCTCACTGAAACCTCCCCCTCCCAGGTTCAAGCAATCCTCCTGCCTCAGCCTCCCAAGTATCTGGGATAGCTGGGATTACAGGCATCTGCCTCTACTCCCAGCTAATTTTTGTATTTTTAGTAGAGACAGGGTTTCGACATGTTGTCCAGGCTGGTCTTGAATTCCTGATCTCAGGTGATCCGCCCGCCTCAGCCTCCCAAAGTGCTGGCATTACAGGCGTGAGATACCAGGTCCGGCCTGCTTTTCTATAGCAATGGAGGAAAAGATTTGAACATCTAGTGCTTATAGTTCCATTTCTAACTATGATAATCTCCCTTTGGTTCAGAAATGGGATGGAAATAGTCTATTTGTAAAATGTTATGAAAACATATTGACTGTGGAGGGCTCGGGATTGTTTAATAAAGTCAAACCAACAAACAAACAACATCAGAAGTTGGATCCTTTCTATCTTTTCTCTGGTCCCATTGAAAACAGAGCCTAAGAGGAAAGCTTCTGTGCTGATATTTTCTTGGGGGGTGTGCAGTCTCAGATAAGCAGAAGTGAGATAGGGCAGTGAGCCAGAGAAGAATGTGACAAGACTCAACATGGTGTTTTACAAAGCTGACCACAGCCTCATAATAAATGCAGTCAATTGCTCAGTCTCATGAGGCCTCTGCAATAGGCTGTTTGAATGACTCCATCTTGGAATAGACCACCATGAGGAAGAAAGAAGGAGTATTTTTCTGCCAGCACTCTCCTCATCCATTTCCCATGCCCCACAAGGAGTTAACTCCTCCAGACTTACAGGTTGTGTTTATTGGTGTCTCAAGACAGCTGTTGTCATAGGCAGACACAACTGGGCTTTCTCGTTAGGCAGTGTTTCAAGCATCGTGAATGGAGTGAGGCTTTGATGGGAACCACCAGTTCTGCATCCTGCAGGTCTTTCGTGTTAGTGCTGGTCTCTACAGCCCTTCCCAGTATTGCTTCCGGTTAACCATCTTGGCCAGGATGTGGGAGGACATTTTCAAGAACTTCAACTAATTCCTTCTATTGTAATAGCTGTTACTCCATAGACAGACATACACAAGTCAGAAATTCTGCCAGCTGCTAGTTTTATCTGTCCCAATTACACATGCAGAAACTCCAGAAATAACCACAAAATGGGCCTTGTGACTGAATGGGTATGGCATGAAATAAACTTGAGTCAAGGGCTCAGTCTTAGGGAGACCATGATAATGTTTTGGGTTCCCTAGTATTCATGTTAATTCAGACCTCACAACTAACAATTCTGATTCCTCTCTGCAAAGTTATCCTGGAAAATGGCATCAGGTCTGTTTAAGGAAGGATCAGTGGAGTAGTCATCTCCGATACTTCTAATGGCATCACAGGATCCTTCTTCAAAAAGAAGAATACCAGGCTCACCTCCAATCACAGGGCTCTGGATTTGTTAACTAATTTGGATTTGAAAACTGAATTAAAGACCATGATTTTTCACTGCAAGAACAGACACTAAACTTCTACTTGCCAACTGTGTTTTTTTTTAAATAATAAAATAGAGTGACCTCCTAGTTGAGCTTCTCATCTATCTCACTGGTCAGAGTCCCATGATCCATTAGCGATCATCATAGCTCTCTGTGATTCCAGGCACCGTTTTCATCATTCCGGTCTTGCTGCCTACTATGGTTGTTATGTTCACCTTCCCTCTGACAGTTCAGTGCCTCTGCCTGGCTTCTGCAAGTTTATAAGCTAGGGGATCGAATGATGAGTTATTGTTTAATGGGTACAGCGTTTCAGCTTGGGATGATGAAAAGACTTCTGGAGATGAGTACTGGTGGTGGTTGCACAACAGTGTGAATGCCACAGAACTTACACTTTAAAAAAGTGAAAATGATAAATTTTACATGTGTACTTACCGCAATAAAAAAGAAGCAATCCAGTCCAAATTATTATCCTTATAAGTATCATTAAAAGCACAACAGCTATAATACCAAGTGTGATTTCCTGTAGTTATAACAGCCGCTTTAAAATCATTATCTGATAGTTGACACATTGGGTCATTTCATGGTTGGAGTATGTGTGTATGTGTGTATGTGTGTGTTGGCTTGCTTTCCCTTGGGAATTGGTCACATTTTTCTGATTCTTTGAATTTTGAGTAATTTTGAGTTGTTTTTTAAAACAATGTGAGCATTATACTGCACAGACTGAGTCCTGTTGTAAACTTCTAGAGAATGCTGAAGTTTGTATTTTTTGTTTGTTTTTTTGGAAATGGAGTCTCATTCTGTCACCCAGGCTGGAGTACAGCGGTGCAATCTCAGTTCACTGCAACCTCCACCTCCCAGGTTCAAGCGATTCTCCTGTCTCAGCCTCCCAAGTAGCTGGGATTACAGGTGCCCACAACTACACTTGGCTAATTTTTGTATTTTTAGTAGAGCCGGGGTTTCACCATGTTGGCCAGGTTGGTCTCGAACTCCTGACCTCAGGTGATCCACCCCCCTCAGCCCCCCAAAGTGCTGGGATTACAGGCGTGAGCCACTGTTCCCAGCCTGTATTTTAGAAGGCATTCAACCTGTTTAGGTTTATACATTATAGTCTGTTTCCTTCTGTAAGGGTAGTTTTAATTTCCATTGACTTCCTTAAGTCTCTACAACATTGGTTGGGCTCTGTTCCATCCATATGCTATTCAGGAGACTTGTGCTGGTGGTTCAAATTTCATTTAAGTTCCCCAAGCCTTGGCTATACATCTTTGATTGTGCCTCATGCGTACATATCTCAGGGTTTAATCTAAAATTAGTTCAGGTTAATACACAGAATTAGGAGAACCCTTTCCTGTCTTTCTTCACTGTAGAATTTCTCCCCAAATTCTCTGACCCACTGAAGCTCCCTTCTCTGGTTTCTCTGGCCAAAAATTTTTAAAAAGTTAAATTTATATCAGTTTCAGCTGCATGTGCCGATGTGCAACTCCATGGCTGAGGCCTGCCCTCAGGGTAAGACTGTGAGAGGAAAAAAATAAATAGTAAACCCCACTTCCAAGCATTTGACTTCTCCAAGTTGTGATTCACCTCCAAAATCCTGTGCTTTCATTTAGTTCTTGGAGTCCTCATGTTGCTGTTTATTTTGGTTTGAGTTTCTAGTTGTCAATGGCAGGTGAGACAGCTGGAGTGGGCTTACACCACCATAACAGAATCAGGATGTTCCTCCCTCTTTTCTATTGGTTTGTTTGTTTGCTAAGATATCAGGAAGGCTCAGCTGGGAAATAAAAGAACCACTTCAGGTTTTTCAAACACAAGGATATAATTAAAAGCAAATTGGTTTTTCAGGTGATCGAAGGTCTAAGAGGTTAAAAAGAGACAGCAAATCAACACAGAGATCGACAACAGTTGGAAGCTACCACCAACCCTCATGTTAGAGGGACAATGGAAGATTTTGTTATTAGAGGTCAGATGTCAGGCTCTCTGGCAGGAGCCAGAACACTGGAATATGCACTGGTGGGACCAAGGTGGGATAGGAACTCAGTTAGGCTTGGAGCTACCGGGAAGACAATTCACAACCAGAGATGCTACAAGAGGCATCTGATCAGGGGTAGAATATCCTGGCTTCTCCCATCATTCTTGTCTTCCAGTCTACCACCGGTAACTCCCATTAAGCAAACCTGTCTGGAAGCTAGAGTGCAAGACAGCCAGAGAAATGAGGTTCCCTAATTTAGAGAGCAAAGCAGGAAAAGGTAGGTGCTATGGTTTCCATGTGTCCCATCTAAAATTCAGGTGTTGCCAATATGATAGTATTAAGAGGCGAGGCCTTTAAGAGGTGATTGGGCCATGAAGGTTCCTCCATTATAAATGGGATTAAGTCTCTTACAAAAGAGGCCTCAGACACTCTTCAGTCCGTTTGACTTTCTGCCCCACAGTTTACCATCAGAGGACACAGCAACAGGTGCCATCCTAGAAGCAGAGAGCAGACGCTTACCAGACAACCAACCAGTTGGTGCCGAAATCTTGGACTTCTCAGCCTCCAGAACTGTGAGAAATAAATTTCTGTATTCTCTAAATTACCCATTCTGTAGTATTTTGTAATAGTAGCACAAATAGACTAAGACTGTAGGAAAATGGACTTGGGTCAAACAAGCATTTGATTGGCACAGTAGAGAATTCTCAAACCCCAGATATTTCTTGCCCATAAATAGTACTATTTTACCTTTTTAAGGTGCATTTAAAAAATCAAAATCTAGATAAAACAACAAATAGCATTAATTTTCTAGATGGTTAATATCTGGTAGAAATCTAGGAATGGCTAACACTTGAAGTGATTATTTCTCAAGATGCAATCTGTGTTCTCTAACTCCAATTCTTGGTATGAGAGAGAGAAGAGCCATTCATTGTTCTTTCCACATTTTGATTTCCAGTTGAGATCAAAACACATTGATCAGAGCCTGGAACCAAGAGCCAAAGGTGAAGGAATCCATAAACTCAGATACGTGAGGACATCCTGAGTAAGATGGAGAAAATGGGTTCCTCTTCCTAACTGAAAAGCCAGAAACGTTCCCTGACAGTCTAAGAGATGCAGTTTACAGGGAAATGAGCTCATACTTCAACATTATAACACCTGACAGAGTGTTGCTTTATTTTAACCCATAGAGATTTAATAGGAAAATAGTTTAGGACAGCTGTCAATACATACCCTCTAGCATGCCTCAGATCATTTTCTCTAAAGGAAAATATATCTTGGGTTCTTAGAAGAAAATATCTTGGGTTCTTAGGAGAAAATTCAAAATAAGTTTGTCAATAAAAAAAATCTTTTTTTTTTTTTTTTGTTTAAGTGTGAATTGTTCTATGATTCCAGTGCCTAGACTTGAACTTCTTAGAGATTAAACCATTCTTGGTAAAAAAAAAAAAAAAAAAAAAAAAAAAAAAAAAAAAAAAAAAAAAAAAAAAAAAAAAAAAAAAAAAAAAAAAAAAAAAAAAAACCATTCTTGGTACTGGTTGGCTAACTTATATGAGAAAATGTGACTTTTGATTATCTTAATTATTGCCTTTCAGTGTATGGTAAACTGTTTTTGTAACCAAGCTGATGAATTTTCTCTATTACTTATATAAATGTAAATACAGCCCCCAATAACAACCTTAAGAACTTTAGTGATTGAGTACTGATGGTGATAAATACTGTTTTTATGTCTTTGCCTTTTAAAAAAAAATCTTCTAAACACTTCCTTTAGTTATACTCAACCTAAAATATTTTGTAGTTCTATTTTCACAAGATAATTGAAATTCAAATTTTTCTTATTTATTATACAATCATTTGCATGTAAGCAACATCAAAACAATTTTTTAAAATCAGGTTGTATACAGTTTATTTCAAAAAGAGCTCAATTTTTTCTTGATAAAAAAGTGAAAATTGAAAATGCCACAGAAGTTTCTGTGTTTTCATTATATCCTTTCCATATCCTCCAATGTAAATGTTATAAATCAGCCTATAAGTGGAGGACTATTCTTAAGCTAACATCTCATTTTTTTTAGCTAAAAGCCAAATACTTTAACTTGTTTACCCTTGAAAATTTTTGTTTTGCATATAAAGTGAAACAAACATGGGACAAACCTATAAAATTTATTATAGAGGAGAAAGAGAGTAGGATAGTTAAGAATATATTTCTCTTGAGATAGATTTCATCTGTGTAATTTTTAGACCGGTTAATTGCTGCATAAAGTTTCCAAATACGCCAGTGGTTCTCAAAGCCCCCAATCTCAGTGAAGGCAACATAGGTTCACACATGGGGCAGTCCCATGGTCAGTCCGTGATTTGGCCAGGAAGTGGTATAATGGAAGCTAGTTCTCCATTTGCTAATTCTAACTTCACCTTTTATCACAACTGAGCCCTCATGACCTAAAGAACAGCCTGGATGAGAAGTATCTGATAGTTTCTTCTTAAAGAATATATTTCCCCTTAGCAAAAAAAAAAAAAAAAGTTATAATTTTCAAACTGAAAACAATACATGTATCCCTTTTCAGCTGTGTGTAGTATATATACACCTGGGTAAGCATAAATAGTTTAGAAAGCACTCCTAGCTGACATTTTAACATTCCCAGGAAAGTACGTGAACTTGCTTCTGTGCCTTCTCGGAAATAGGATGGCCAATATAGTGCTTTGTACAGGGTCATTTTTCAGTTTTATCACACATAGGAAATGGCCTTACCACTGAAAAATACTCTTTGGATGTAGAACTATCCAAAAAATAATTCATGCTATTCACAAATGAGAAAAGTGAGGAGGTCAATAAGTAAACTGCAATTGCTCCATTAAAGTTTTCTCAACCACACACAGACAAGGGTGGAGGGAGAGAAGGAGGAAGAGGGATGGAGGGAAAGGGAAAAAAAGGAGAAAGAGCTACAGGAGAGATAGAGGAAGAGACAGGATTTGAACCATGTATTCCTTTGTCCTTGCAATCTTAGTTCTATTTTATGTTGATATTTCCTCCAGTTAATTATGTTGCTTCTGGTTCACATGATCTCATATAGAAAATGCACAAGAGTTTAAGAACAGAATATAATGATGAAGGAATATCAACAAGTATATTTTTTGCACTGGTTATATTAGTCAAACATAGCATTACAAAAGGAGCGTCTAATCTTCCCCAGATACCATTATAATGTAAAGTTCTTACATATTATTAGCGTCAGTAAAATTTGATAAATTTCTACTTGACTGACAGAAATACAGATTTATCTTGGTTCCATGCCACTCCTGATAGAAATTTACCTCCACCTTGGAAGAATACAAAGGACTCCACTTAAAAGGCAAATCAAGCCAAACCTTATAAAGACAAACCACAGACTCAGGGTTACATGGTTTGAGTTCTGCACAAAATATTTGAATGGCTGCTTCATAAAAGACGATATATGAGGACTTGGGGCAGAACAAGATGGCGGAATAGAAGGCTCCACCAATTGTCCCTGCTTCAAGGACACCAATTTAACAACTAACTATACAAAATAGCACCTTTATAAGAACCAAAAATCAGGTGAGTACCTGGTTTTAACTTCATATTACTAAAAGACGCATTGAAGAGGTAGGAAAAACCACCTTGAATTGCTGACATCACACCTCCTCCCTCCCCCAGCGGCAGTGGCATGGCGCAGAGAACATTTTTGTGTTCTGCGGAGAAGGAGATCACAGCATTTGTGAGGCATTGAACTCAGTGCTGCCTTATTATAACAGAAAACAAAATTGGACCAATCTATGTTCATGAATTGGAAAATCAAGATTACTAAAATGTCCATACTACTCAAAGCAATCTACAGATTTAATGCAATCCCTATCAAAATACCAATGACATTATTCACAGAAATAGAAAAACAATCTAAAATCAAAACACCCAGAATAGCCAAAGCTATACTAAGCCAAAAAACAAACAAACAAACAAAAAAAACTGTAGGAATCACTTACTTACCTGACTTTAAATTACACTACACAGCTAAAGTAACCAAAAAGGCATGGTACTGGCATAAAACATACACATAGATCAATGAACCTGAATAGAGAATCCAAAGATAAATCCATACATCTACAGTGAACTCATTTCTGACAAAGTAGCCATGAACATACATTGTAGAAAGGACAATCTCTCCAATAAATGATGCTGGGCAAACTGGACATCTATATGCAAAAGAACAAAACTAGACTCCTGTCTCCAAACAGATACAAAAATCAAATCAAAATGGATTAAAGACTGAAATCTAAGATCTCAAATGATGTAAATACTACATGAAAACATTAGGGAATCTCCCCAGAACATTGAACTGGGAAAGATTTCTTAATTAATAAACACTTCACAAGCACAGGCAACCCAAAACAAAAATTGACAAATGGGATCATATCAAGTTCCAAAGCTTCTGCACAGCAAAAAAAATAATTAACAAAGATAAAAGCCGCAGAACAGGAAAAAATATTTGCAAACTATCCATCTGACAAGAGATTAATCACCAGAATATATGAGGAGCTCAAACAACTCTGTAGGAAAACAAAAACAAAAACTAATAATCCCTTTTTAAAAAAATAGGCAAAAAATCTGAATAGACATTTCTCAAAAGAAGACATATGAATGGCCAACAGGTATATGAAAAGGTGCTCGACGTCATTGCTCATCAGAGAAATGCAAATCAAAACTGCAATGAGATTTAATCTCACCTCAGGTAGAATGACTTTTATCTAATGTCTGGCAATAACAAATGCTGACAAGGATGGAGAGAAAAGGAAAGCTTCGTATATTGTTAGCGGGAATATAAATTAGTACAACTACTCTGGAGAACAGTGTGAAGGTTCCTCAAAAAACTAAAAGTAGAGCTACCGTACTATCCAGCAATCCCACTGCGGGGTATACACCCACAATAAAAGAAATCGACGTATCGAAGAATACCTGCACTCTCATGTTTGTTGTAGCACTGTTCACAATAGCCAAAATTTGGAAGCAATGGAAGCGTTCATCAACAGATGAATGAATAAAGAAAACGTGGTTCATATACACAATGGAGTACTCATCAGCCATAAAGAAGAATGAGATTCTGTTTTTTGCAACAAAATGGATGGAACTGGAGGTCATTATGTTAAGTAAACTAAGCTAGACAAAGGACAAACTTTACACATCCTCACTGATTTGTGGGAGGTAAAAATGAAAATAGTTGAACTCATGGAGATAAGAGTAAAAGGATGGTTAACAGAGACTGGGAAGGGTAGTCAGGGAATGTGGGGGAAATAACGATGGTTAATGGGCACAAAAACATTGTTAGAATGAATAGGATCTGGTATTTGCTAGCACAGCTGTGTGACTATAGTCAAAAATAATTTGATTGTACATTTTAAAATAACAAATAGTACAGCTGGATCATCTGTAACACAAAAGATCAATACCTGAGGTGATGGATATTTACCCCGATGTGATTATTATGCATTGCATGCCTGTTTTGAAACATCTCCTGTATTTATCTCCTGCACGAGGCCAACTGAGGGCACTTGCTCCTCTTGTTTCTGCTCCTGGGTTAACAATCAAGATGGTACATGCTGATGCCTTTTCTCGTCCTTTGAGTCGGAATGCAGTTGT